AATGATCCTTCTCTACTCCACCAATACTCTCTGAAGGAAAAAAGGCAGTACTAACTGTTCAGATAATTAGTCTTAAGTTTTGACCATGAGCTTTGCACCTCATTCGAAAAACAAAAAGCTTCATTCAAACCAGGAAACACTGTTCCCTTTCTCCAGGAGACAAGAGAGATCATGTTTTTGTTCCATGAAGTGACGCGTCGCTGGCTGCAAAGAAAAAAATGCGCAGACATGATTCTTTGAGAGTAAAAGGAGCTCCTTCAAAGAAGTCAAGTGGAGAATAGCCCAGATCATGTACTACACCTAACTTACATTCGCAAATCAAACACTCAACAAACAAAAAAGAAAAGAGTTCTGTAGCATTCCCTTAGTACCTGGCCTGAATCCCATTCACACAAAGCCAATAGTTGAATACAGTAAACCCACTACACTTAACTCTATAGTGGAACTTAGCCAAACAATTATGATTTTGGCTGATGTTTCATCTCTGGGAAACTTTGCTATCCATCCATTTTCTAATCACTTTGTCCGATTCAGGGTTGTGGGGAGCCGGAGTCTATCCCAGGAAGCAAAGGGTGCAAGGCAGGATACACCTTGGAAGGGATGCCAGGCTATCGCCGGGCAGACATAGAGACACACACACTCATACAAGGGCCTACTAGTACAGTATGTCTTTGGACTGTAGGAGGAAAGCCATGCAAACACAGGAAGATCATACAGACTCGACGCAGAGCTCAGTGTTGAAGGGCAGCAATGCCAGCCTCTGCACCACTGTGCCACCAATTACCCCATTTAACCATAGTGCACCACATGACCACGAAACAAAAAGACTTTGTTCAGAAATGGTAAACGATTAAACAATGTTTCAATGTTTGTCTTGTAAAATTAAACTGAAGAGACTGCATTGTACGTAATCAAATAACGTTATATTGGTCAAACATTACTACAGCCCATCCTAAGAAAACATCTGTCATGACTGAAGCATTGGTTACCTTCCAGTCACCTGCATTATGCAGTATAACCATATATAAACAGAACAA